ACACCCGGCGACACCCAAAGCGACGCGCTGGAGATTTTTTCCCGCCCCCCGTCGGCGCCTCTCCTTTTTCTCTCCCCCCTCCCTTCCTCCCTCCCTCCCCGGATCCACGAATTTTTATTTATCCTCTTTGGTTTCATTTCGTACCCCCCCCTCCGTCCGACTCGTCACCAAGATGTGGCCTGCCGCGCCCGCACCCCGCCATCACGCGGAAACAAGAAAGGCGCTGTGTGTGTGTGCGTGTGTGTGTGTGTGTGTGTGTGTGTGTGCGTGTGTGTGTGAGTGTGTGCGTGTGTGAGTGTGTGTGTGTGTGCGTGTGTGTGTGTGTGTGTGTGTGTGTGTGTGTGTGTGTGTGTGTGTGTGCATAAGTGGAAATGCAATCGAGCATGATGGTGCGCGTTTGTGAGTGAATGCATGTTGAGGTGGTGGTGGTAGGACCACGAGAAATGCTAGTCGAGTAAAAAGTCGATTTTTTTTAAACTTCTCAAACGCCGAATTTTTTTAAAAATGCCATAGGAAAATTACGATTTTTAAACATTTGAGATAACAAAGGGAGAGGTAATTTTTCACTGGGTTGCGCTGCCTCCTCACGCTTCACATTTCCTGTAGTAGTTCCACGGTTGTCTGCTCCCGGCAAGTCTGGCCCGCCTTGACCAGCTCCATCAGCGTGACTCGTCGGCCCGCGTCGCTCCGTCTCTGTCGCACCCGCGGGGCGCGGCGCAGGGGTGCGAGAGAGACAGAGAGACGAAAAGGCCCTTTTCTCGGACGCGCCGCTCTCCCCCGCTCAAACGGAACCCCTACTTGCCGAGTCACTTCGAGCGGCACCAATATATTGAAATTCGAGCAAATCGTTCATGAAATCGCGCGAGTGCGAAAACACGCCAGCCACGCCACTGGCGGGAAAAGTTCGGCAGCGTGGGAAAACAACAGCACTTTGATAATATGCGCAAGACGGTTTTGGCGCGAAAGTCTCCTCGCGTTGCTGCGCCTTGCTGCGGGCGAGCCGCGAGATCGCCTTCGCTGTAATCCTCGCTCAAACTGCGGTACCACCCTTCCACCGCACAGTGGGCCAGAAGACCGGTGGAGGCGGACAAAAGTCTAGACGCGTTTTGAGCCCCAGAGTCGCTGAATGGGACTCGAACCGAACGTGTGACCCCACCAATGGATTGCTCTCCGGACGAGGAATCCATTGGTGGGGTCACACGGTCGCTTCGAGTGCTGTTTAGCGACCTGGAACCAAAAACGCGTCCGGGATTTTGGCCGCCTCCACCGGTCTTCTGGCCCTCTGTGCACCGTCGGCAGGCTGACTTCCCGTCTCTCTCGCACTCATGTGGCGCGCCGCCGAAGCGCGAGAGAGACAGAGCGACGAAAAATCTTTTCGGAATCGCTCGCGGAGACACGTTGTTCTCTCATTAACGGGAATAAAAGGGGGAGAGGGGAAAGGCAGGGGGGGTCATTACAGCAATTACTCTAGCTGTGGGACAATAACACCCCTGCCGTCGCTCGTCGCTATGCGTCTCGACCACTGCACTGGAAGGAGAGACTTGGGAATGGGTCCAGTCGGCCGGGGTCGCAGCCACCAGGCTTACCTTGCAACACAAAGAGAGGAAACGCACGTTAGAAAGCTGCAACATTTTCAGCTGTCAGCAGAGACAAACAGAGCAAGAAGAATTCGTCAAAGTTCTTGGTCTAGGTCATTTTTGTGTCATGTATAGCAGGGGGAAAATCACTGAAAAAGAGTACTTTCTCGATCTTATTTTATGTTGTCTTCCGACAGGCCCGGCGTGCTACATCTCCAAATACGACGCGAGCGAAACTCTTTTTAGCACGCTGGTTAAACTTGCTGACGCAGTTTGAGGGGAGCGTCTAAGTCCAGTGGACGTCCGACGGGGCGACGCAACAAAGTAGAGGCACTGCGCAGCCCCTGCAGAGCCCAGGATTTCCCGGCGCCAGAATTAGAACATTGTAAGCACACGTCCGACGTGTACCAGCAACAATCTGAGGAGTGTGCATGGTTCACTTTTGTGAGAGTCAGCTTTAAAGTTAATCCCTAATCGTCTTAAAGAAGTTTTCGTGGTGGCTCGTTCAAACGTGTACAAGAATGTGTCAGTTCAGTCCAAAACGAAAATTAAACATTTTCATAATTTACAGATGGCAGCGGGGCGCCTTGCGACCGAGGACTCGCACTCTGGACCTATTTGCCGAGTGGCGGACATTTCGTTTCATTCTCATTTCATTTTTTATTTTTTTCCCGCTGCCAATGTCTTTCATCCGGGCTAAAATGCGCGCGAAATTCGAAATAACGGTCTGAAAAGAGCAAGCCGCGCGGCCCCCGCTGAAAGGCCCAGCGGCCGCCTCCGCGGGCGTCGCTGTGTCTCTGTCGCGCTCGTGGGGCGTCCCGCAGGGCAGCGGGAGAGAGAAGGGACGTTTCGGAACGGCCCCGGACCACCCGGAATCAGTCATTACGCTCTCAATCGACGGCTAATTCAAAGTGGGGCAGGTGAGCAGCGGCACTGTGCGAGGCACTGTGCGACCCGCGCTGGAGGGCAGCCCCCCCACCCCCACCCTCCAAAACGCCCCAGCGGATAAGACCGCAAAAGGCTCCCGATCATGTTTTTACCCTTCATGACCAACTTTGTGTGGCTACCGCTCCCAAACTAGTTGCGGTCAATAGCCTTCCTGACACAGGGCGTGAAATAGTAGCGTCTTAAGAATACTAGGACGTCGAGGGAGGCCTTTTACGGTGACTAGATTGGACACAGTGGCCACCCAAAGTCAGCAAAATCAGCAAATTTCCGAGATTCGACCACTTTTTGACCAACTTGGTCGAAAAATCGTTGCGGTCAAAGCCAAAATCGTTGTGGTCAACGTTTTCCCGACACAGGGCATGAAAGAGTAGGGTCTTAAGAATACTAGGACGTCGAGGGAGGCCTTTTACGGTGACTAGATTGGACACAGTGGCCACCCAAAGTCAGCAAAATCAGCAAATTTCCGAGATTCGACCACTTTTTGACCAACTCGGTCGAAAAATCGTTGCGGTCAAAGCCAAAATCGTTGTGGTCAACGTTTTCCCGACACAGGGCATGAAATAGTAGGGTCTTAAGAATACTAGGACGTCGAGGGAGACCTTTTACGGTGACTAGATTGGACACAGTGGCCACCCAAAGTCAGCAAAATCAGCAAATTTCCGAGATTCGACCACTTTTTAACCAACTTGGTCGAAAAATCGTTGCGGTCAAAGCCGAAATCGTTGTGGTCAACGTTTTCCCGACACAGGGCATGAAAGAGTAGGGTCTTAAGAATGCTAGGACGTCGAGGGAGGCCTTTTACGGCGACTAGATTGGAAACAGCATTTTCTAAATTTATTTTCCAAAGTGTTAGCCCGCAACGGCTCAAGCCTTTGGTTATTCCGAGGCCGGGCGTCGGGCGTCTGCCAGTCCGATGGCCGCAGAGGGAATCGACCCCTTCCGGAAAACAATTATATTTTCGTCATGCGACCAGGGGGTGGCATTTTCAAGTCGCCCTCGCCGTGCGCTCACACACACACGCACACACACACACACACACACACAAGCAGTCACGAGGAAGGCGGTAGTATAAAACGGCTCTGCCTTGCCTTGCGTCAGAGCAGGTGCAACATGGGCGCAAGGGCACACACATACTCGCGAGCGAGTGTCCTTGCATGTGTGTGTGTGTGTGTGTGTGTGTGTGTGTAAGGGCACGCGTAAGTATGTATGAATACATGTATATGCGATGCGTCCACCGTGGAAATCCTCCGGAACACAGCTTTACACTTCCGCTACAAATGGCCATAGACTGGCTGGGTTGCCGGCCTGTTGCCGCGCCTACGCTGCCCCCCTTCTCCTCTCTTCCGCCGCCGCGGCCCAGAAAGCGAGACCCACTGGAAACTGCACCTCCAAACCGTTTTAATTATTTCATTTTTTTTTTCCTGCGGGTATTGTCGTCCGACTCGGCGGTCTAATTTGGAATAACGAAGCGTTACATCACATGCCCGGCCGTGGGAGGGCGAAGGGGAAGGGGGAAGGGGAGGGGGGAGGGGGAGGGGGAGGGGAGAAGGGAGGGGGAGGGGGGAGGGTGGGGCACTGTCTTCCGAAAAGGAGTCGAGTCCGCGAGCAATAAAAGCTGAGGATGACGAATCGCCCGCCGAGAGAGGGGCACTTGGGGCACTCGCTGCACCGGAGGAGGAGGAGGAGGAGGAGGAGGAGAAGAAGAAGAAGAAGAAGAAGAAGAAGAAGAAGAAGAAGAAGAAGGAGAAGAAGAAGGAAGAAGGAGAAAGAGGGCGGCGCTGACAAGCGAACACCAGGTACCTGCCGCCGAGCCGCCAAATCTCCGGCCAAACTCAACACGGCGCGGCGCTAGCAGTGGATCCACTTTGGCGCGGCTTTTCCTCGAGGCTTTTCCTTTCCCGCGCGATCGGGCCGCCGAGGAAAGCCGCGATTGGTCCGAATGGCGGATTGTGAAATCAAAGGGCGGCCGGCGTGGCCCGGCCGGACTCGAGGGGGCTTTGGGGGCTCCGCTCCTCGGTTCGCCGGTAAGCCGCGAGGATCTGGCGGCGGCGAGGCGGCGGTCGCGGCCGGCGGCAAAGGTGCTAAGGTCTCCCCGCCGCGGGCGGCCCTCGGACCCACGGGGACCCGCGGGGACCCAAGGGGACCCGCAGGGACCCACGGCAAACACGAGGGCCTTGTCCCCGCCGAGGACGCCTTCGGCGAGGCCTTCGGCGAGGCCTTCGGCGAGGCCTCCGGCACTGCTTTAGCACGTACGCGGCCGTCGCGGCGCCGGAAAAGGGAGAGGAAACGGCGAGGCCGGGATCACGTTTTCCGGCGCCACCGAGGCTATACCGGGGGGAATTAGGGTGGTGACGATGGAGGTAATTATAATGGACGATGGTGATGGCGATGATGATGGTAAAAAGGCTGCTGCTGATGATGAAAATTATGATTGATGATACTGGTGCTGCTGATGATAATTATGATTGATGATACTGGTGCTGCTGATGATGCTGGTACAGAGATAATGATAATGATGATGATGATTATAATGATGGTGATGCTAGTACTGATGATGATGATACTGATGATGGTAGAGAAGATGCAGCTGATGAGGATGCTAGTACTGATGATGACGATGATGATGATGTTCCACAACTCGACTCTGACGATTTCCATCTCTCGGCTCTTGTTTTTCGCGAGGATGCACACCATTACCATTGCCGGAGATACTCCTCTTTCAAACTTATTACGCGCCGAAGCCGTTGGCGCCGCTGGCGCCGCTGCCGGTTCGGCCGGTTTGCTCTTCGCTTTCTCATTTCCTCGGCGTGTTTACAGGCGAGTCCCTTCCTGAACAACAACTTGCCGGCAAGCGTTCCATCACTAGCGTATGCACTGCAAAATGATGCTTCTATTTTCACAACTCAAAATCAATGCATGGTATCACAATTGCCAAATCAAGTACAGCCGAGCAGTCCTGAATAATGCCTTGAGCTGGTTCACCAGCGCTGGGCTTTCAGGAAATTGATTCATACGGAGGGCTTGGGCCTGACCCCCCAGAGGGCTCCCAGGGGCCCCACATGGCAGGCCTGGGTGGCTTGGGGCCAAGGGCCTCGGCGCTAGACTCGGCGCCCGTCGGAATGCAGAGTGGAAGTGCACCAGAAGGCTGTCGGGCTGCCCGGCCGGTCGCTCCGAATATATTAAATGTGCAGTGTTGAGCGCGCAATCGCAGCCGGCGGCATTTCTTCATCTGACGCGCTCTCCGGAGACTGGAATCCCTGGAAGCTCTGGAAGCGGGCGTCATTTGTCTGTCGACCGGGGCACAGTGGGCAGAAGACGGTGCAGGCGGGTGGCCAGAATCCCGGACGCGTTTTGAGCGCCAGAGTCGCTAAATGGGGCTCGAACCGGCCGTGTGACCCCACCAATGGATTGCTCTACAAACCAGGAACCCATTGATGGCTCGGTTTGAGTCCTGTTTAGCGACTCTGGAGCTCAAAACGCGTCTAAATCTGAAGTTAAGTAATTGTTGCATAGGCCATCGAAGACACCACTTGCTCCCAAGGGTCTCCCAGCACTGCGCCAATCCCTGCTCCAGGCTGCAGTCCTCGGCAGAGCGACCCTTGCCGAACACGACTGCATCAACTTATTCCAAATTCCCGTCCATCGGAAGGCCGCCCCCGCCCTGGAGTCTGGAGGGCCCTGGGGTGTCCTTGCTCATGTCGGGCCTCGCGTCACGTCGCGGCCCCCGCAGCCCCCGCGGCCCCCCCAGCCCCCGCGGCCTCCGCAGCCCCCGCAGCCCCCGCAGCCCGCGCAGCCCCAGAGCACCTTATTCATCGCCAAGGAGTCTCGAGTAGGCGTCTGGGCGACGAGTGTGGCACTATACAAAGGGACGGGACACCCTAGGCCAGGCTGCCCCGGGCTGCCCCGGGCGGCGGGGACACGCTAGTCACACCTCACTGGTTTTTGATTGAAGTGAGCGGGAAGGTCCTCCGGCCTGCAGTGCCGTGCCGGCCGTGCCTGTAGGGCCCCTCCCTGTAGGGCCACGCCAACCACCGTCGCCGGCCGCTTCTTCAACGGCCGATAGACGTATGGCCGGCCTTACGGCGAGTTTGAGGGGGCGGCGCGCGCGGCGGGGGCGGTGGGGGTGGGGAGGAGAGGGGAGGGGGACTTGTTTGTTGGGCGACAGGCCGCACACGTATCCATCATGGTGGGCTGGATAGGGGGTATTGGCCATACAGTCACGAAGCGGAGGCACGGCGGACCCTGCTCTGCAAAGATCAATAAGGCAAAAAAAGGAGAAAGGACGAAGAGAAAATGAAAGGACTTTTTTTTTCGAATGAAGGACGGACAAGTAGTGGTCAAATCGGTCACCAACTTAAAAACCTTTTGACATTCAAAAATAGTTGCGATTTCTTTTTATCAGAGTACCTAATCCAAGGGGTAGATCGGTGCAGACGCGACTAGTCCGGCGTTCCCACGTAAGACGCGTGTCGAAGCCTAATTTAAACGCGGTCCCGCCCCCATTCATCATTACCGATGGTAAGCTGGTCAAGGAGGCCGGGCTTTGGGAGCGGGCTCCTACAGTGCACTGCTTAGGGGCGACACGGCCACGGTCCTTCGCCCGCGTATCGGCCGGCCGGCCGGCAAAGGAATCCGAATCCCAATGTCGGACCTGGCCTGCACCGCTCGCGCGCGAGAGAGACGGATTCACATTCGGGCCTCGGATGTGATTCGGGTGATTTATCGCCGGGCCATTCCGGCTGAATACGGACATGCAGTCAATTCGGCTGCCAAAGCCAAAGGGCCGAGGGGGCCGAAGGGCCCCTCCCCCTGATTGTGATAGGACCAAAAAGTGATAAAGGCGCGGAGAGACGAATGCCCTTGATGTCCAACTTTTTTGCCCCCGGCCGCGTCGGCGCGCGTCGGCCCGCCCGCCTCCGCTGTGGCACCGTCGCCAAGATGCTCCGCGGATCTAATTTAAACGTCAGGCCGGACGGGGCAGCACGCCTGGCTCCTGGCAGTGGAGGCAGCCGAGGAAGCGATTATATGTTGCACTTTTTATTTGCTCCCCTTTTTATGCCGTCTTATTCCTCCTTTCCTCACCCGCGCGTAGCGGCACGTACACTCCCCGAAAACTCCATCTTTTTCCATTGCCTCTACACCCTCCACACACTAAATACCTTTGTACTTTCACTCTCTACAACTACTTCCATATTAGTGCATATGCAATATATGTTCAATTTGACAAACAAACGAGAGAGATTGTTTCCATGCTCTGCTGAATCATTTATAAAGTTGCGCCTAATTTGTGCAACCCGCTCAAAAAATCCCTCAGCAAGTGGCGTGCACACTTTGGAAGGGCAGCGAGGTTCCCGAAGACGATTGTCTGCCGTTCGGAGCGTCCCTGGCTCTTCGTTGCTTCCTGGCCAGACGGGACCGCAGTCCGGGTGCGCTCGACCGGTCCCAGCGTATTCCTTGGGTCCGGGCAAGGCCGGGCAGGGCCGAGTACGTCGTCAAGGAGTCCGCAGGTCGAGTCGTCCTCCGGCAGCCACTCCAGCCCCGCTGCAGCTAGCTCCTGGAGGAGAGGTCCTGGAGGACTCCAGGAGAGGGGAGGGTCCTGGCGGGCTCAGCCCTCCCACACTGGGCTCTTTCGGCCTCTTCCGGACTGAATTGATTGTGGGCGTCACTGGAGGGGCTGGAATCTGGCTGGGGCCCGGCTAGAGGCTGGCTGGAGGCTGGCTCGGGCCCGGCTGGAGGCTCCAGGGGCTGTAATGAGTGCGACAGAGACGCCCAAATGAGCCGCGGGACCCCCAAGGGCCTGGGGCCCAGGCAGCCCCAAGAACCCCGCCAGTGATTCGCAGGAATGACGGATCGGCGCGCCAAGGCCACGACGGATGTACACTGGAAGAGAAAAGAATCTATTTTCTCTTTCCCCTCAAAGCGCTTGGGATGCAGTGGGGATGCAGCCTGGGGCGGCCACTTGAAGCCTCAAGCGCATGCAGGAGTTCCCGATACAATGCGACGGAAGGGCGGCAGGGCGGAACCTGGCGCACAGTGGGCCAGAAGACCGGTGGAGGTGGCCAAAACTCTGGACGCGTTTTGAGCTCCAGAGTCGCTAAACTGGACTAGAACCGAACGTGTGACCCCACCAATGGATGCCTCGTTCGGAGAGCAGTCCATTGGTGGGGTCACACGTTCGGTTCGAGTCCCATTTAGTGACTCTGGAGCTCAAAACGCGTCCAGAGTGTTGGCCGCCGCCGCCGGTCTTCTGGCCCACTGCGCGATGAGCCGGCGAAAGGAGATGATTATGCCTCATCAGTATGCAGCCCGCGCGATGCATAATGACGCGCTGGCCAATCGTAGTGACGGAGACAAAACGCAGCGCCATAATTAAACGCCAGATCAAATTCAATCGAGAAATTAATTATTCGGCCGAGGGGGAAGACCGCGTGCACCTCTCTCTGTCCCGTCCGGTCCGTCTCGCTCCCGCCCGAGTGACGCACCGGCTGGGAGTGACAAAGACGGAGTGACTTCGTCCTCTGCGGCAGCGAAACGGCCAACTTTATACGAAAACGGCTGCCTTGCCCGCAACCCAGTTGCATGGGAAAAGAGGGTGGGGTATGTCTTTACTTAAAGTTCGTAAAAGTGTTTCTTTTTTTCAAAATTGACCATAAACTTTTTAACTGACAATGTTCACAGCACCACGTGATACAAACCTTCTGTAAAATTCTCAAAATTTTGTGGTAAAGAAATAACCAGGTCGAGTCCCCTTTGCGCTTTTGCTGACCCCTTGGGCGTCTTGCGCAGAGCGCAGAGCCCGACCGAATCGAGAAATACTTTGCTCTCTCTCTCTCTCTCTCTCTCTCTCTCTCTCTCTCTCTCTCTCTCTCTCTCTCTCTCTCTTTCTCGGTTCCGCCATCGTGGCATCTTTGTGACAAGCAGCCTTCCTTCCGCCGGAGAGCGAGAGTGGCATCAGTGGCCGAAAAATGATCAGTATTCCCGGCGCGCGCCGCACTGTTTTGAGCGGGGCCAGACTCCGTCGCTGTAAAGAGATCAGGCCCAGCTGACAGACTTTCGATACAGTGACTCGTCTGATTGCGTATTCCTCCGGGGTGCGCCTGATACCGCGACCGCCCCACAGTGGGCCAGAAGACCGATGGGCGGACGAAATTCGAGACGCGGTTTGAGCTCCAGAGTCGCGAAATGGCACTTGAACGGAACGTGTGACCCCCACCAATGAATTCCTCGTTCGGAGAGCAATCCATTGGTGGGGTCACACGTTCGATTCGAGTCCTGTTTAGCGACTCTGGAGCTCAAAACGCGTATAGAATTTTGGCCGCCTCCACCGGTCTTCCGGCCCACTGTGCACCCCTTCTGGCGGCTCCGTCCGGATCAACTCGCTACGTTACAGCGGCTGAATATCGCACACGCAAAAAAAATTCCCTCTCCATGCGCTTTTTCTTCTTGGTCCGTACGGCGTGGTATCAAAATGCACTGCGAGGGTGGAGCCACCGCAACTTTGCGACGACTTTGCTACCTAAGCCTAGGCGAACTGTCTTAACAAAGCCCTTTGAGTCTGGCCCGCAAGCCCTTTCTTGTCGGCCGGAGAATTTGCATCACGCAGGCCCAGGCCACGCATCGAGGGTAGGGCCTAGCACAGTGGGCCCTGTCTATAAGCCTCAAACTTTTTTTTTACTGCCATAGTCTACGAATAGTCATGG